AGATTCCTCAAATTACACAATCAGAAAATCATAAGCACCTGAATAAACAATGCAGCTTTTTAAAAATACAATCAAAATGCTTAAATTCTAACAAGCACAGCTTAAATATGAGTTTTTAAAATGTAATAGATGTGCACTAAAGTGTTAATAGCAATCACCTCTGAAGAATTGCATTACAAGAGATTTTTACTTCCTATTGAACAATTTAAAAAATGTTGGGGGCTGGGAATTTAGCTCAGCGGCACAGTGCCTGCCTGGCAAGCACGAGGTCATGAGTTCGATTCCCGATACCGAAAAAATAAATAAAAATAAAAAATGTTGGACTCTTTCAGAACACAGTAATACACTTTTAGTCATAAATTAGTACATGCACACATATATTTTAAATGTTGGCCTGCTCGATGGGGCTTCTTATTTGAAATAAAAACCAACATCTCAGGAAACTATAAACAAGGAAGATTATCCAGGAATCTCACAAACAAGTGACAGTAAATAAGCATTAATAGTACAGATCTATTCTTCCTAACTAAAGGCCTACAAAATGCTGCTGAATGGTCTTTACTTAGGAGAGTCTTTATCGTTTTGCTTTATTTTTCTTTGAGACAGGGTCTCACCATGTAGTGCAGGCTGCCCTTGAATTTGTGGTGATCCACCTACGTCAACCTCCCAAGTGATGGAATCACAGGTGTATACCACCACAACTGGCTTCTTGTTTTTGTTTTTTTAAGACAGGTTCTTACTCACTACATAGTTTAAGATGCCCTTGAACTCACAATGGAGCCCAGGCTGGTCTTAAACTCCTGGAGATCCTCCTGCCTCAGCCTTACAAGTACTAGGAGTACAGGCATGCATCATCACACCCAGCTATTGTTTTGCTTTCAATGACTGTGAAACTATTCACATAGCTCTTCATGGATTCACTAGTGAATATAGCTTCATCTCTTTTTGCTTTCCTATAAAGTCAAAATCTTAAATCATCAAGGTTTTTTACTGTGCTACTGGTGGTGATGGGTTTTCTTTTTGGAACTAAATTTTCACAGCTACAGAGGGACTGCTGAAGACTTAAAATTCTAGACTGGTGTTGGTAAACGTGGCGTACGTGCTGCAGTGGGCTTTTTGTATCATTGGAAACTCTTAAAAGGTTCGCAGTCACTGTCTAGACCTTTTCATTTTTGTATGCATATTTTTGCTTTTATTTTTTATCTGTTGTTTACCTGTTGGTTTGGTTTTTGGCTCTTTGAGACAGGGTCTCACAATGTAGTTCAGGCTGGTCCTGAACTTGTGAACTCGTAATCCTCCTGCCTCAGTCGTGAAGCAGCTGGGAGTCTTCCTTTTCTCCTAGCTCCTCTTCCTTCACCTCCGCCCTTGGCCTCTGCTCTCCCTACAAGGATGGTTATGTGCACCCACCTGACCTGGCGCCTCTCCCGTACCGGCTCCACATCACTAGGCGTGAAAGTGCCCGATGCCTACTCCCACCTGAGCCCAGGATAGACCGAGAGTCCTGCACCTTCTTCACCCTGTTCCCCAGCAGCAACTCCATAACTGCTTGGGTAATAAGTGAAATGGATATGAAAATTGTGTTAGGGTTGAAAGAACTATAATGATTTTTTCAGAAGTGTTCCTTTAAGAAAGAAAGAAAAAAATCCTCTGTTGTTGCTTTTGCTCTCTGCTGCCCCCATGAATGGTTGCCCCTCTGCCATGTGCCACCCTGCCTTGGAGCCAGACAATTACGGACTGAAACCCCTACAAACTGTGAGCTAAGTAAACCTTTCCTCCCTTTAAAAAAAAAAAAAACAAGGAAAGAAAGATGAGACAGGTCTCACTGTGTAGTTCAGGCTGGTCTTGAGTTCTCTATGTAGCCCAGGCTGGGCTCAAATTCATGGCAATCCTCCTGCCTCAGCCCCCCAGTCCTGGGGTTACAGATGTGTGCCAGCGCACCTGGCTGGACACTCTTTATAGACAACGTACCAGCATGCTTTGCTCATTCTGTGTTGGTCATTAGAGCTTACCTTTCTATAAGGCACAGATGAGTCATTCTTGCCCTCGTGACCAGCATTTGTCATGTGGCACTGCGCTCAAGGTCACAGGCTTTTAGAAGCCCGGATAGACGGACTGGGGGTATAGCTCAGTGGCATAAGTGCTTGTCTGGCAAGCACAAGGTCCTGAGTTCGATTCCTGTTACAAAAATAAATAAAGTGCTTGCTGTAGAAGCCCACATAGGGAAGGCCAATGCCGGTTCCTGGGGGAGTTCCTGGGGAAGTCCTCAGAATCACAAGGGGTCAAAATAGTTGTTCATCATCTTCAACAAAATAATGTCCTGTTAGACTCTCGCCCTCCCACCCAAGTACTGGGGATTGAACTCAGGGGGTGAGCTACATCATACATGGAACTTTTTATATTTTTTATGACAGTGTCTTGCTAAGTTGCCCAGGTTGCCTAGAACTTGCCATCCTCCTGCCTCAGCCTCCTGAGTAGCTGGGATTCTAGGTTGTCACCACCGTACCTGACTCCATGAATTTTTCTTTTCAGTTTTTTTCTTCTGCTCCTTCCTCTCCTCTTCCTCCTTTTTCTCCCTCTTCTTCTTCTTCTCTTCCTCCTCTCTCTCCCTCCACCCCTCCTTCCTTCCTCCTCCCTGTTTTTTGGGGGGACAGGATTTTACTATGTAGTTCAGGCTGGCCTTGAACTCACTTTGTAGCCCAGCTGGTCTCAAAATCACAACAGTCCTCCTGCCTCAGCCCTCAATTCTGGGATTACAGACATGAAACCCTGACGTCTAGCCCTTTTCATTTTTTGTATTGGTGATTGAACCCACAGTCTTCACAGTGATCTGCACCCCGAGCCCTTTTCTAAAAAAATTATTTTGAGCCAGGCGTGGTGGTATACTCCTGTACTAGCACTTGGGAAGCTGAGGCAGGGGGATTACCACAAATTTAAGGCTAGCCTGCAGTACACAGCAAGACCCTGTCTCAAAAAAAAGTATTTTGAGACAGGGTCTCACTAAATTGCTAAATTGTGTAGGCTAGCCAGGCGTGGTAGTGCATGCCTGTAATCCCAGCACTGGTGAGGCTGAGGTAGGAGGATCATTGTGAGTTTAAGACCAGCCTGGGCTACACAGTGAGCTCAAGGCCAGCCTGAACTGCTTAGTGACACCCTGTCTCAAAAAGACCAAAAAAAAAAAATTATCTTTCACTATGATATTTTTCCCTTTTTTTTTTTTTTTTTTTTTTGGTCTTTTTGAGACAGGATTTTGCTATCTGGCCTCAAACTCATAGTGATTCTCCTGCCTCAACCTCCCAAGTGCTGGGATTACAGGCATGCGCCACCACACCTGGCCTCCCTTTTCTTTTTTTATTGTCCTCTCCTCACTGGAAATATTAAAGAGTTCCTTTTTTTTTGAGACAGGATTCACTATGCAGTTCAGGCTGGTCTTAAACCCACAGCAGGCCGGGCATAATGGCGCACGCCTGTAATCCCAGCACTTGGCAGGCTGAGGCAGGAGGATCGTTGCAAGTTCGAGACCAGCCTCTGGCTACCAAGTGAGCTCAAGGACAGACTGAACTGCATAGTGAGCTCAAAAAGACAAAAAAAGAAACCCTGCAGCAGTCCTCTTGCCTCAGCCTCCTGAGGGCTGGGATTATAGGCATACACCACCACGCCTGGCCCACTGAAGTTTTGTAAAACTAATGCAGAGGCATCCTTACTGCAGCAGGCTCAGTACCCAGAAAGGAGCAAATAGAGAGGGAGGTGAAAAAGAATGAAGATGTGTCCCATACATGCTCCTGCTCCCCTCCAGGAATCTGAGCACTATGCACTGGGAACACAGACTAAGAAAAATAAAAATTAATCAAATAGAAGGGCGGCCGGGGATATAGCTCCGCGGCACAAGCGCCTGCCTGGCGAGCACAAGTTCCTGAGTTCGATTCCCAGTACCACACACACACACACACACACACACACACACACACACACACACAAAAAAAATAGAGGGAAGGAGACTAGAAAAATAGACGTAAATTCTTTTTGCCTCCCCCCTCCTCTGCCCCCAGCCCCCTCCTCTCCTCCCGTCTGTCTGTTCCCTCCCGGCGTGTGTGCATGTGGGTGTGCGTGTGTTGCTGAGGCTGGAACCCAGGGCCCTGCACACGCTACCAAAGTGCTCCGCCCTGAGCCACACCCTTGGTCCTACGAAACTGACCGTGAGTAAGAGTGGGAGGCAACCAGCGTCCCAGCCCTAAACTCTGCTGCACTCCCTGGGTCTCCCCCGTCCTGACCCTGGCTGGCCACGTGCTTCTCGCTCCTGGTCCACCACTGGCGGCCTCTCTGCAGCTGGTCAGCACCTCTCCCTCCCAACCCCCTGCTCTTGACATCCCTGGTGCTGGGAAGGCGCACACCTCACGGCCTCCCACACCTGCAACCTGAACCACCCAGGCCCACGGACACTGCGGGGAGCTGACACACACGCACCAGCTGGCGAGCGGCCAAAAAGGTAAAGGCGGTCGGTGCAATGTGGCCAGTGCTACAAAGCGCTGCAGCAGAAGGCAGAGCAAGAGAGCTCGGGCGTCAGGATCTCTCCAGCCACCTTTCAGAGCACAGAAAAAGAAAAAAACAGTGCAACCTGATTAGCCATTGACATGTCTTCGAAGCACATAGGTTTTTGGGTTTTTTTATACAGGGAATCAAACCCAGGACCTTGCACTTGCCAAGCAGGCACTTATGCCACTGAGCTACATCCCCGGCCCAGGTTTTTATTATTTTATGCTTTGTGGAACTGAAACGTTGAGCCCACGGTCTCCACACTGAGTTACAGCTCCTTTTCTTGGTTTTTTGATAGGGTCTCACGTAGTGCAGGGGCTGGTCTTGAACTCACTATGTAATCCAGGCTGGCCTCAGACTCACAATAATGCCCCTGTCTCAGCCTCCCCAGTGCTGGGATTACAGGTGTGCACCACCATACCTGGCTGACACAGGGTCTTCTAAATTCCCCAGGCTAGGCTTGAATTTGACATCCTCCTGCCTCAGTCTCCTAGAGTGTTGGGATTACAAGGGTATGCTTCCACTCCCAGGTAAAAAATTTTTATCTCATCCCTCTTCCTCTTTTTTGAATTGTTTTGAGAAAGGGTCTCACTGTGTAGTCCAGACTGGCCTTGAACTCACAGTGATCCTCCTGACTCAGCCTCTCAAGTGCTGGGATTATAGGCGTGCGCCGCCACGCCCAGCCTGATTTCCTCTTCAGTGCCGTCAGAATTTAAGAGGAACTCTCAGCCCACTGGCAGAGGTGTACAGCCGCCGCCACAGGAGGAGGCCTCACTTCGGCCCGTTGCTGGGGCCTCCCTCATTCTGAACACCCTTCTGTGACCTCACCCCCAACACTGGTTCTACCTGCCTCTTGGTGATTTCCTCAGTGGAAGATCCCATCTTGGCTGCCGTGGGTCAGAGCCCCCAGGAGCACAAGTCCTGCACAGAATCAGCTTTGGGGTGGCCTTAGGACCACACTCCGCCGAGCACCTGTCCGGCTCGACCCCAGGCTCCGTACGACAAACATTTGCGCCCCCGTTTCCGTTGCCTCTGAGGTGCTTCAGCAACTGCTGTGAGGGGCCCTCCGCTGCTGAGCCGTAGCGTCCCTTGCAGGAGCTGGCGCGGGCTCCGTGTCCCAGACCATGGCTAGCACAGCCCCTTCTGACCTGAAGCTCCCCCAGCGGATGGGCCCCGTCCCTGAGGAAACCCACAGGAGCCCCGCAGGGGAACAGCTGCACCTGCTGAGCAGCCTGGCCCCGGTACAGACCCTGGCCAGTGTCATCCAGCCTTGCTACGGCCCCCACAGGCGGAAGAAGCTCCTGGTGACCGCTCAAGGGGACGTCGTGTGCACAGGCTCGGCTGCCGCCATCCTCCGGGCCCTGCAGCTGGAGCACCCAGCTGCCCGGTTCGTCCGGGAAGCAGCCCAGGCCCAGGCCGAGAGCACTGGGGATGGCACTGCCTTCGTGGTCCTGCTGGCAGAAGCCTTGCTGGAGCAGGCTGAGCCCCTGCTCAGAGCGGGCCTGGCCCGCACCCAGCTCCGGGAGGCCTACAGCACAGCTCTGGCAGAAGTCCTGGCCACGCTGCCTTCCTTGGCCATCCGGGCCCTGGGGCCTTTGGAGGATCCGTCCTGGGCCCTCTGCTCTGTGATGAACACGCACAGCCTGGCCCACTCGGACCACCTGGCCAAGCTGGTGGCCCACGCGTGCTGGGCCAGCAAGGAGCCCAGCGGCAGCTTCAAGCCTGAGCGCATTGGGGTGTGCACCCTGACGGGGGGCACGCTCTGGGACTCCTGCCTCCTCCCGGGGCTCGTCGTGGCCTCAAGGCCGTGTGGCCAAGTGACCGCAGTGCCATCAGGGGCCAGGGTGGCCCTGTTCACCTGCTGCTTCGGTCCTGCCAGTCCCAGTGCCCCTGCAACTGCCCGTCTCTATAGTCTCGAGGACCTCCTTACATTCAAGACAGAAAGCCGTCGACTAATAGAAAACCAGGTGGTCCAGCTGGCAGACGCGGATGTCAACGTCGCCGTGGTGTGGGGAGACGTGGACGAGGAGGCCCTCGCCCTGGCCGACCAGCTAGGCATCCTGGTGACTCAGGTTCAGTCTCGGAGGGAAATCGTGTACCTCAGTGAGGTGCTGGACACCCCTCTCCTGACGAGCCTACTCCCCCCACTGAAGCTGGGGCAGTGCCGGAGGGTTCACACGCAGAAGCTGGGGGACCACGAGGCCATGGTGTTTGAGTGGGAGCAGGAAGGCGCCCCTGTCCTCACCCTGGTCCTCCGAGGGGCGACAGCCGAGGTGCTGCGGGGCGCAGAGGAGGCCACCTACCACGGCATCGATGCCTATGCCCAGCTCTGCCAGGATCCCAGGCTGCTGCCAGGAGCCGGTTCCACGGAGATGGCTCTGGCCAGGATGCTGTCAGAAAAGGGGAGCAAACTGGACGGGCCCGAGGGCCCCGCCTTCCTGGCTTTCGCCCGAGCACTGAGATCTCTCCCTAAAACCTTGGCAGAGAACGCAGGCTTGGCTGTCCCGGCCACGATGGCAGAAATGAATGGCCTCCACCAAGCAGGGAACTTCCTGGTGGGAGTGGGAAGTGAAGGGTTACTAAATGCTGCCCAGGAAGGGGTGTGGGACCCCCTCGTGGCCAAAGCCCAAGGGCTCCGTGCAGCAGCCGAGGTGGTGCTGACGCTGGTGACAGTGGATGAGTTTGTAGTGGCCAAGGCGAGCTCCATCCCCCAGCAGACCTTGGACCCCGACTCCGGGAAGGCAATGGAAAGCCTGTCTCTACCCAAAAAAGAAAGCCTTAGGACGGAGAGGCAGCAACATCCTCAATAAACCAGGACTGCCAAGGAGGGCGCCTCCCCTCCCCACCCCGGAAATGCATGTTCACCTTATTTGCTCCTTCAACTTCGTTGCTTGTATTATTTCAATAGATTGGGCATTTGTTTTTGTTTCTGAGACAGGATATTGAACTTCAGGCTGGCCTTGAACTCACTATGTAACCCAGGTTGGCCTCAAACTCACCAGCACCCTCCTGCCGCAGTTTCCTGAGTGCTGGGATTACAGGCATGCGCCACCACACTGGGCTCTTGGTACTTTTAGAATTTCTTTAGATACAACACCCTTGAGTTCGATTCCTGGTACCAAAAATAAAAAAGATACAACACCCTGAAGAGACATAAAAGTTTTTCTCACTGACTTCCTTCCTTTGTAAATCTTCATTCTTTCATTCCTATTTCTTTCCATCAGATTCTGTTCTTTTCTATGATTGGAGCAGGATTCAATTTTTTTTTTTTTTTTTTTTTGTATCAGGAATTGAACTCAGGACTTTGTGCTTGCCAGGCAGGCACTTATGCCACTGAGCTACAGCCATTTTTTTGGAATGTTGGACATACTGACCA